TGTTCTTTCTAGCCGGAATTCTGGAACAGAAAATAAACGTTAATACCAAGTAATTATACTAAATTAACAATGACTGAGTCACAACGAAACAATTATTGACTCAAAGAGTATCGCTAAAGATTGCAAATTACACAAAAACTGCATAAATACTAATTGGTACCGGGAGAGAACACAAATCGTGAAAACCAGTTCACTTTATCCAGCAATACAGAGTTAATTTACGATTATTTGCATTGAATTGAATAGATACTAAACAAATGTAACGATAGAGTGGTAATGTAGATACTAATAGCATAAATAACTTAAAGTGAAAAGTAATAATACTTACTTCGCCACGAGCGAGATCACTACATGTCTAATCAGTCCAGCTTCCCTGAGACGAATGACCGTTAGGCTGGTTGACTGGCTGTCATTGGTTGATGCGGTTATGTATAAGGCCTGTGATTGGTGCGTCGGTTGGTGAAGAACGTGAGGATTGGTCGCTTTTCTGCTTGCTCAACATTCTATTTGAACGAAATAGAATATTTACCGCCGAATTATATTTCAATATATTTTCTTATATACACCCGAGATTGATTGAGGAGGGAATGACTATCATGAAAGGGAAACAAAGAGACACACACTATCCCCAAAAATGTGATATTCCACTTCCTAATAGATCGAAAGTATTAATTTTACTCTCGTCTTCTCGAAGTTTTCAATCCTCCAATGGTTCTCTAACGCCATCTATGATAAATATATCCTGTCAATTTGACAATGATGCCAAAGTTTATGAAATACAATACAATAGGTATTACCAGTTAAATAATAGATCAAAACTATTTTTCATGAAGAAAGCTTGACTAGCTAAGCTCTAGTTGGGTCGAAATTCATTGTTTAATTACTTCCTCACCAATTACCAGAAGGTAATTGATTGTGCGTATTAGGATTCTTATATCACGTTATCAGATAAAAAAAATATAAAAACGAATAAAAAGGGAACGTGGGAAACGTAACATTACTAAGATGTTCATTAATGATGAAATTTAGAATAAGTTATCATATTTCATTAGTATTACAATATTCATCTTTTAAACCGAAGCATCGGATATTTTTATTCCCACCAAATCATATCGGATACACGTCTTATGAATGGAATAATACTCAGAATTCATGCTTTATCGGTAACGTCGGGTATTGGCACTGAAATGGTAAGAAGGTTACGTAGCCCTCCGAACGAGGGACAAAAAAAAGGATTGGATGATAGGTCTATTCTATACCTAGTCAGTGCTAGAATTCAAGTACAATCAGCTACTACGCCATTATACGCCATACTGCCCCATTCTGGACGCTCAGAAGCCTCTGAAAGTGCTGCAAAAAATAACATTGTTCCCATCTATATAATGATGTTCTGTGACAGTGTCATAGCGCGTAAAATCAAACTGCCACCATTCGAATTCAAAAGTTGGTAAACAAAATTTAAGTCTGATTTATAACACATTTCTCTAAAAGGTATATACATTTCTATAGTCAACTTTAAGCAACAACCCTGTCTTAATATTTACGAGGAATGTTAAATTGTATTTATTTTATTTAAATAATTTTAACTACGTTTCATGCGTAAGTTTTGATGAAGTTATTAAGAAAGTGAGAGTTTTTCGATCGACATTTGATCGTTAGCCACCTTGACATTGACTTCTTCTACGAAAACGAGAAATATGTTATAGTTCAGATTCATTAACTATTCAAGTTAAGGAACCCTATACTTCTACATACTTCAGAACAAAAATTAGAAACGTGGAAACGGTGTTAAACTAATAGAGAACATCTCAGAAAAAGTTAAGAGGATAATCTTGTTTCGAAATCTATTTAGACACCCACAATTTTTAGGACTTTCTCTTCCAATAAGATCGACAGAATTTGGAACTTTCTCTTCAAACAGGGAATATCCAATTTATTAATGATTCACTTCTTTTATTACGTAAACATTACAACAGATAAATTAATTTTTCTTACACAAATAAGTATAGAAGAAAATCATTTTTTAACATTAAATATATTTACCTTACTGTCTTGGCGAATAGTGACAACTGTAACACGAGTTTATATACAAGACTTATGCCTTATATTAAAAATATCAAATCAGAAATAATATAATAAGTATGATTTACGTATTCGTAATCGCAGATTGTTTTGTTTTTTGAGTAATCGAAAGAATGACGTAAACCATTTCGATAGCCGTATATTTTGTCTTAGAAAATTCATTTTTGCAATATCATCTGCCTCTCTAAATATTTTTCCATTCACCTTAAGAAGATTTTCGACAACTCCATTTTCTTACTTAAACAACGAACTTCTGTGATGTTTATATAAATACATAGTTATCTAGCTCACTTTGTATAATAAACAAACCGCGAACATTTATGGAAATTTATTATTTCTGTAAAATAATTCACAACAACTGAAGTTAAACAGAAATTTGTTTACTCTGTTAAGGGATTCATTGGCGTACTAATCGTAAGTGAAAATTTCATTAAACATGTTAATAGAATTTTAGATATTCATGTACATTATGAGTGTATAAATCTCACAGGTTATGTGGTAATAAATAATCATTTTCTCTTCCTGGTGTTCGTTATTTTCTTTAATACTTAACCATAACGCCTGTAATCGCTGGCATTTGATGGTATCATATAATAGTTAATATATCCATACGCAATGACGCATATAGAGTACTAGAACAGGTAGACCATGGCCTATTCGTTCGATCGCATGTGTATGTCTTTAGGTGCAACAGAATGAAAGTACGAAGTTCTGAAAAACATTATTATCATATTCAAATACTGATAACCAGAAAAGTATCACAAGGACATGGAGTTTTCTAATTGAACAAAGAATAAAACGATATTATTACTCTGACGTTTCGATTTCAGCTTTTCCATCCAAGTTCAATCAAAATATGCAGATATTACTTTATTTCATAACTACACTGAACATACTTTTTTTAAAACGGTATGTAACAAATAAAACTGTTCTCTAAGATAATTCCTTTTAACTCGAGGAAACAACTACAGGTGCATTGAGCCGGGAGCGTAGAACGTTAATGAAGCGTGCCCTGTTTTAATTGGATCGCAACACCAATTTTTCACACTTTCTGCTGTCTCAGCGTCTCTCATCGAACAGTAGAAATTCCATTTCAGCCAAGATATAATTTTTCATCATATCTTTAAACATTTCTAGTAGATCCTTCTTCATAAAAAAAAAACTAAGTTAAGACCTCGACCATTCCACTAAAAAGTACTATTTGCTTCCATTTCACAGTAGCTTGTCCTCGTGAAACTCATCGAATTTTATACAAAATTTGATTTTTTATTATTACTGTGTGGTTACTTCAAAAATTCTTACAATAAATAGCTTGCAGTTCACGCTATTTGAACATTTCTCATCCAAGAAGTACCAAAAGTAAAAACAAATTACGAAACCAAAGTTTTTCTAAATTGTTCTCTATTGGTCCTTTATGTATGTTCTACGCTTTCCCAGCATTCTCATTTACATATTACTGATTTACGAGCACACTTTCCTTTTTTTTTCTTTGCTCCCAAAATACATATTACACTCTCACGCGCGCACTCTCGAAAAGGGACGGTAGCGCAGCAAGAAACGAAAGCGATTCGTCAATTAGCGTCGCCGCTACCGTTTTCCTTTGCATTTGTCACTTGCGAGTCAAAAATTAGGTACGACCACCGCTCTCGAACCGAGATAGCGCCAAATTTTCGCTCATCCGAGTTTCTACAGGCGTTCCGATGCACTTTCGCAACTTTCCCACGAAATTCGCTCGTTCGTTACTCCCACAACCTTTTATAGCTCGCAGAAACCAACTTGGAAATCACGATTGCATACGCAATTCAACGCCTACATTCTTATAAAAAAACACAAGCATTGTCAACCTCGAACGTACATTTCAAAATTTACGTTTCATAGAATATTCAGTATTCAATATTCTTGCACCAATTGCTGTTGTATTAAAAAAATTTCCACGTAATCAAAACCCATTTTTTTTAGCAGAACGAAAATTGCACTCGTCGAAATTCATCGTTAGACTGCAAATACTTATGAAAACGCCCATTTTAGTAGTGGATTTTACAAACACAAGATCAACGAAAAATATATATAGACATTGAAGGACTTTGTTATATTAAAAGTGGGATATGACCTTTATCAGTTTTATTTTGAATTCTCTGTTTCACTGGAATTTACGATATTTGCATGGCATCACGAATACATAAGCACCCGCAACCTTATTCGTCGCAGTGTACATAAGTACTATTTTTTCCGACCTTCTGGAATATCATGGTTCTTGAACACACAATGGATACAAAGATAAGGCAATACAAAAATACATTATCTGAAGGCTCACTATAGTTAAGATACAGTTCCACAATATAATTTACGAATTTACGAAGTTATTATTAACAAATCTTTATGTACAAATACTTTTTCATCCACTACACTTGTTTCCTTTAATATCACTCAATTGTTTTCTTTTTTTCATATCAGCATGGTAAACAAAGGGTTAAAAACTTTCCATTATCCTCTGTCGCAGGCCAAAGACCTTGCACCACCATACGATACGTCCTCCGTTCATAATTCAACCGTAACCTCGACCTGACGTCCTCTAAAAAAACAGTATTTTTTTCTCCACGAAAATTACCATAATCGATCTGGGTGACGCAAAACCCTCATATCGACGACGATCGTTCCCAAACACGGAGAATTCCCGAACGTCGACCTTGACACCTTCGTTCACCTTTTGTCGTCATTACACCTGGCTGTCGCCGATGATCCACCATGAACGTCGCGTCCTCCCTCCCTCCGCTATCAACCAATTCCTCTAACAGTCATCGACAAGTGAAAAAGGTGGGAGCCCCGACCAGGGACAAACTCGGCGTACAAAGATTTGTCACGATCAGTTCACCTGTTGGCGTGCTCGACGTGCGCACATTACGTCTCGTGTCGGTGTGATGTTTCCGTCAACGTTCAAGCTCACGTTGCTTCTGATGACAGTGTTTCTGTCGGGTCGAGTCACCACGAAAAAAGCGCTTGGCCCGATCCAGGAAGCGATCCAGAACGGCGCCGCGGCGGATTTTGATCGCGACAAATGTGTATGGAGACGAGGAAACGACAGGGATTCCTGTCCCGATCCTGATGTACGGGTCTTCCTTTATGCGAACGATAGACCGAGGAGAGAATTAGACTCCAGAGTATCGGACTGGCTACGTCAGGATTACGATCCGACGAAGGAGAATGTTCTTCTTGTGCATGGATATGCAGGTGCGTTTTGAAACACGATATTTTTTTACATTTTATTCTTCTTTTCAGGATTTATTATGTCTTTTGGTGGATTTTATTTATGTACACCCACGAGCAAACTCGGCTTCCACTAGGGGAAAAAGCGGCGTAGAAGAAAAGTATCCTATCACTTGGTAAATTTATTTCAAGTACTGAAATAAATGTTAAACCGAATGTTAATTTGACATGCATTTCAATAGTACCCGATACCAAATGGTAGGAAGCCTTACGACACAGGGGGTAAGAAAAGCTCTTACGACACTTTTTCCCCTAGCGGAAACCGAGTTTGCTCGCGAGGATACAGTGGTAGAGAGACATATCCATATTGATGACTTTATACTATTAAATGACAATGGTGTTTTTAATGTAACAACAGGTTAAATGTGATTTCCATAGAGATATCCCCTCAAATTTATGAGGGGCTGAAAACCTTTCCGCCTTGTCATGAATGCTTCGAAGCGGATGTCGCACTCATCGAAACATTACTGTACACTGCGTGGCATACCTATAAAGTCGCCCTAAAATTTTCAATTCGTATGTATTGTGGGTAAAATAAAAACGAATCACTTTTTTTCTAGGGAATATAATTTATCCTGTTCTGGAGAATCATTATTTTTCAATACGATTGCAGACATGGCATAGTTGGTTCGTTTTTATTTTACAGTCAATACATAAAAATTAAAAATTGTAGGATGGTTTTATAGTTATGCCACGCAGTGTAATTTAATGTAAACCTAACTTGTTCTAGTATACTTGGTAGTAATTGACCAAAACATTCTTGTTATAGGGAAAATAATCTTAGTTTGTAATAATAAGCGTTACTAGTGCATGAATACTTTTTTTTCCAACGGGATTTTTGCATTAAAGACTGTATATCCTCGTCCTTAGGGATACAAAAGGAAACATGTAGAGAAATTCGATACAATCAAAATTTTATTCAAACAAACAACCATCCAAGACACTAATTTCAAAGTTTCTATTTTGCATATGTACATGTTTCACTTAATCGACTAATCTTTTTCGCCGTAAATTACATAACCATTCGAGAACTATAAACTAGTAGCTTAATAGCAATACTTTTCTAGCTGGCTAACAGTGACTTTGCAAAAATTCCTATCGAAACATGAATTATTGTGAAATCGAAACTGAAACCAAACATGTCTCGTGCAAGAAAAACATACATATTACAGTAGAATTCCATTCATATTCTCCCCCAATACTTATGAATCATAAGCGTAAGTTATGACACTTCATTCAAATAACCGGAGTTCATGTTCGGATAAGTGGATTCAGTCACACATTTATGTACTCGTTCTTTCGCTTATAGTAATGTCTCAGACTTTATTTTGGAAATAAATATGCAAGGACATTAATTTCGTAATGCATACTGAATGAATTCTTTCTTTACTTTTATAACAAAAATAATTAAATTCATTTAAAGACTTCGAAAAAGTAGGTTCTTCCAAATTTTCTGACATTGCAAATCAGTTATATTCGATTCCGATTATGCTTTGAGCCCCCATTAAGTATATTTAACATTAAAACTAGCAAACAAGTAAAAATGACTTGTCAGTACACTTTTGTTACGATGATTGAAATGCTATAACAATACAGTTTCTCAGATCTTTTGCAACTTTTATTACTATTTACTAATTTATAAATTTGTAAATATTCAAAAGTTTGTCATGTTTATCGATCGATCCAAATAGATATGCGTGTATCGTCAGTGGTTCTAGTGTTAATGAACTGAATGAGCTTGTGTATTCGTATAAAATCATATTACCGGCACTAATTAAAATTTCGTTCAAATTCATATTCGTAACAAAGTCTCTAAAAATCCTCAGGTGGCGACGACACCCTCCCGATAGCAGTGCTCCGCGACGCGTACCTCCGTAACGGCAGCTACAACGTCTTCCTGGTCGACTGGGGCGCACTGTGTGCCGCCCCCTGTTACCCAGCCGCGGTAGCAAATCTCCGTCCAGTGGCTCGATGTCTAGCCGGTATATTGACCAACTTAAGAAACCTGGGCTTACCGATCTTCAGGACGACCTGCGTGGGCCATTCATTAGGCGCGCACATCTGCGGCATCATTGCTAATTTCTTGCTGTTCAGGATGCACCGAATAATCGGCCTGGACCCAGCCAGGCCTTTAATGAGACCAGGTTACGTGAACCGTTTGGACAGCGGTGATGCCGATTTCGTCGAGGTGATCCACACGAATGCTGGATACTACGGTGAGGGTGGTCGTATGGGTCACGTGGACTTTTGCGTGAACGGTGGTAAAATGCAGCCGTTCTGCGAGGACAAGCCTCACGATCAGCTCTGCAGTCACGTGTGGGTCGTTTGCTACATGGCCCAGAGCATCGACAACGGTGGCCTCGAGTCGATGGCGGAACCATGCTCGAGACGGTGTCCTTCCGGACCTAGGATCGCCCAACGTGCCGGCGAATACGTGGCCATGGGACAGCACACGCCGGTCGGGACCAGGGGGTCTTTCTGCTACACCGGGAAACATCCTCCCTATTGTCCTAAATACAGAAAGGGACGCGGCGACACGAGGTGCTGTCTACCGGATGACGAGACTTTCGCTCAGTTGCTTTGAGGACGGTAAGTTCGGGGGGGAGGGATGACGCGAAAGACTATTGTATAAAGTGAAGGGCGGAACCAGTGTATAGATGTTGTAGATTATAATTGGGCGATGATAGTTGATCACTTTCTAAAAATTTACTTTGTTTTAAGCTGAGCAATAAGATTGATTCTAGGGATGGGTTAGAACGTCATTTTTAAATACTTCGAGAGTTTCGGATCACGATAAAAATGCAAAATTTGGAATTCTCGAAACCCAAAACTTTCTTAGATTTCGAGGGAATTTGAGGTTTCGATGTTTCGGGAAACCCATCTCTAGTTTATTCCTATTGTGCAGGTCTGTTAAGCAATAGGTTGAATACTAGATTATAGAGTAATGGAAACAGAATAATGAAATTAAAATGAACCTATTGCTTGGAGGTTCCAGTCAGGTTTTATTGGTTTTGTATGAATCATATCTAATCAATGGATTTGTCGACCAGTTTATTTTATTATTTCCTCATACTTCCCGGTGTTTTCTTTTCACTGTTTTAAAACCATTGGGAAATGAACATACGTGGAATGGTTTACGACCCAATTGGCTAGAATGAGTAATTTGGAGTACTTACTGGGTGAATAATCGATCTAAATCAAGCAGACTTATTGTCCATTCGTTGCCTAATCGATTGACACAGGTGTACGGTGACAAGTGGATCTTCGTACGGTACCGCAAACCGTGCAGTCCGATTCCGGAACGCGATTGCGTATTCAGTCACAGTACATGTCCGGAAAAATCTCGCGTTCGTGATCTACCGACCGATAGATCCCGTTAACCGCTCCACTGAACCACCGTGAACGTATTCATGACAATATCCACTGATCGAAGAACTAGTTTTTTTTTATTACAACTTCCAAAGATACTTCAAATAACGTTTGAAACGCCGAAACTATCGATATTGTTCAAAAGAAGTGTATTACTCTGAATAAAACTGCACAACACCAAACGCACAATGTTAATTGAACACTGTTTACACACTGTATAATATGTAATGTAATATATGTAATTAATAAATATAGTAACTGTAATAAACCATGTAAGAAATACAATTTCTATCATAGGCTACAATCCCACAAATACATAATCTTGCATGAATACACATCTGTCTCGTGACACGCAAATATCGTGATTTCAATGTCATGATTTCAAGGCTTTCGACGAGTTTCATCGAGCAAATCATCTTATAGAAAGTTTACACGTGAGAAAATAGACCTCGCAGATTTGTGTACATTAAATTTTTACTACTAAAATTTTCAATCCTTATGTATTGTGATTAAAATAAAAACGAGCCACTTTCTTCTACTGAGTATAATCTATCCCTTTCTGGACAAACATCATTTCTCAATACGATTTTCTTTTTTACTTGATTCGTTTTTATTTTCACCACAACACATAAGAATTGAAAATTTTAGGGTGGTTTTGCAGTTATACCATGTAGCGTATCTGAAGAAAAAAAACAGAAAAATACACGTCGAACAATCTCAAAACGGAAAAATACAATTACACTCATAATTGGTTCGGTTATGCCAGAAGCTGCCTGCTTCCTAAGAGACTATCTTCTTAACAAAATTCTAGATTTGTCAAAGTGAAATTCATTCAAAGCTAACGTAAAGTGCTATGTACTACAGAATCAGACACTTAATACTCCACAATTGAACGTGACCAGTGGCACCGACAATGGAGCACTTTCTGCTGAGTACCATCGTGAAGTGCTCCATCTTCGCGAAACGGCTACCGTTGTCCCAAGTTTCCGTTCGACGACGTCAACGACGCCCTTCGTGGACAATTAGAATTTCAAAGCGTTCGAGCATTCTCACGAACGGACGACAAAAAAAAAATCGGTTCGAAGCATTGGCTACGAGCTAATTTCGCAGACTTGAAAGGGAACGTATTGAGGTGGCCTATCGTTGTACACGGAAGCACGTCGTTGACTAATCCAGACGTCGGTCGTCGGGAAAGCCGACGAACCGGCGCCCCGCTGATTCCTGAAGTGTTTTCGGGAGACATCGATATCTGGATAGCTGCGGAGATCCTCGTGAGGGGCGACATGTAGACGAGACACGGATCCTCCGCAACAAGAACTCTCGTGCCAACAGATATCTTTCTCTCGAGAATCGTGGTTTTCGAAATTTGCCTAATGACGAGGAATCATTACGAGGAATATTTCTCTTTCATGATAGATCATTCACCCTCGAGTGACGATGACTTGGTCACTCGGTGTACACACGATGTTTCGAGGAAAGAGGATTGTAACTAAGAGAAATCGATGTTTATAAAAAATGAAAATTATACATTATATTTTACAAATTTTGCGAATTAATGTGGAAGCTTTAATTGATGTATAATATTGACTAGCATGGGTCACGTGTGACCCGGCCGTCAAATTTCACTGTACGTTATGCCGGGGTTAATCCCTAGCAGTGGTTATTACCCTTTCAGGCGAAGAAATATTCAATTTCGAAACAGGAGGATTTGGCATCTTGTAAATATAATTAATGGCACTAATATTATTAATGGTAGGGTACAAGGAAATGTATTTTATTATGATATTGTCTCAATAATAAAAACTGTGCCGGTCAACGTGATGAAGCCTAAATTATGAATTTCTAATGTAAAAAATTGTAGTGCAGAAAATCAAAGTGTTTCGTCAGTCAACCTACCGAACCCTTCAAAAAGGTAGGAATTAGGAAAAAGGTCATTTGAAAATTAGTGAACTACTGTTACCTTTGTGAAGTACGATATATTAATATTTTACTCTTATGATTGCAGACTTTCTATTATGGTATTTCAATATATTGAAAGTCTATTCCTCCATCTTCTTAAACAACTTTCTAAGATTTTTGAATGTTCCAATAAAGTAAGTGGTATCACAGAATTATATTATGGTATGAATTAAAGCATGTGCTCGTATAGAAAATGATTTATTACAACGATAACGCACAGTAAAAAAAAATGATTGGTTTCCTTAGACTATGTATCTTAAGTAACGATATCGTCGATAAAAATATTTAAACATTCTCACAAGTCGAAGCACAAGATCGTACGTACAAAATACAATATACACGATATAAACAATTGGTCAAGCATATTCGATTAACAACTCGGAGAACGACAATACAACGTGTATAATACTGGTGAATATATTTTTTCTGTGTGCTCCCCGTGTTCGGAGCACGCCGAGGAGCCACAGTATTGCTAATAACAGTAATAGTCACACTATTAATAATTAATCATCTTTTTGTTCGTTCGTTCTTTCGATAAGGCACTGTATTGTACTTATTTACATTCGAAATATATCCACAATATTAGGCACTAACTTACTAGCACACCTGTGCTCGATTCGGGAAATAAAATATTATTGCTTCGTATAAAAATTATTACTTTATACATTTAATACTCTGTAATACTTTAGCTATATGTTTGAAAATTTGTAATAATATCGGGTAACTTCTCGAACTGTTCAAGTATCTGAAACATCTTTGGTCCATTCATCATCATCGAGGATATTTCCACTTACACCTACATCTCGCATTTAACAGATAAAAAGTCTCGTACACACATAAGGCACCATACGTTAAAAAATATTCAAAATCTAAAATATCCTACATACACCTACCAGAAGTGTATTCTCTGCCCCGGAAACAAACGTCTCCGAATCTATACTGAACTTTCGAATTACAAAATATAGATTTTCATACTTCGATTCATCCACTCGAAGGTAACCTTTCGTTACACTATACATCAATCATCCAACATCTCTCTCAAAATATCTCAATCTCAACCTCGCGTTTTTACATCATAAAACTAACTCGATCGTTCCATCATTACTAAATATAAGAAATCTTTGGTTCATCGTTCACGAATCCCGCTACAGCCGATGGACAATTTTTCATTCCTACTTACATACTTAATTACGTACAGTTGATTCGTATTTAACTAGAAAACTATTAAGTGTACCAATAAATAATCCTCCAAAAATTGTTTCAATATTCAACACTTATTTCGAATGAAATCAGAAGCCTGTACTCTTGCAGTGATATTTGTCCTCGGTCTTCAATGTTCACCGCCCTTTTTAACGGAAGAAACAGGTGCGAAGATGTTTTAAATTCTGTTACCAGTTTATTAAAACCAAATAATGAATTATTCATTGGTGCAGCCTAATATATATAATAATCCACAGCTGGTCCCGTTAATAATATTTCGAAAATTGCGGCATCGATTGATACTGTAACCTAATCAAGTCCTGTTGCATCGCTGGATGAAGCAACCGGAAGTAATTCGCGGGCAGGTTCAGAAGGTCCTCGTATCTGGGCGATAAACTCGAGGACGAGGTGGTCGACGAGAATTGCGGCGTCGAATCGACCCACGGTCTGTGCAATCGTGGCTGTGCGTCGCGATCGACGTCCCTGGATGGCGAATTTTGATGGACGATGGAGGGCAAAGGTGGACTGATACCCCCGCAACTGCTGACACCGCTGTCGTCGAGACTTCCGGTCTCGCTGGACGCAGTCTTCGGCCTCTGAGCCACAACCTCCAGATGATTCGACCTGGTCGATTCGGATTCAGACGAAACATTCCCTTCCTCGTCCTCTATTCGGCACGATGTCTCACCTTCCGTTTGCTGGAACTTCCTTTTGCAACGTGATTGGCCCGTCTCACGGAACCCCTTCGCGAACGGATTGTTGTTGATTTTCAGTTTGGTAATGTTCTCGTTCTGCATTGGACGAATATAATCATTACTTCGAGTAACTTTAACGATGATTTCGTGTAAAAATGGGATGATTCTTTTATTTTCTTCTCTTTTACGTCGCATCGACTGCTATACACTGTGTAATATAAGTATAAAACCACCCTAAAATTTTCAATTCTTACGTATTATGGTTAAAATAAAAATGGATCAAGTATGACATGTCTGAAATAATGTTTCTCCAACAAAGGATAGAATTATATTCAGTTGAAAAAAAGTGGTTCGGTTTTATTTTAACCACAATATATAAAGATTGAACATTTTCTTATGGTTTCATTGTTATGCCGCACAGTGTATATGTAGGTCATTAACGACGATAGTTTTACGATGTGCCAAGGCAATTATGTAGATTTTAGAGTAAAGGTGTGTGTAAAATGCTGATTGTGTTCTTTAAGTTTTCTCTTGTAAATAATTATTGTAGTCGGTAACAAAAATAACGTATTATTGTAGTGCCTGCTAATGTTATGCAATTTATTTTCATCGATGTTGCTTTGATTTCAATATATAAACAATATAATTTATACTTTGTGTCTTTCTGGGTCAATATGTTTCAGTTATATAGAATTAAAAATGAATATTCACCTGATAAGCAGTAACAGCAATGAATTCCGTTTCTTTGAACTTGAACGACGAGGCTGGATGAGAATATAAATCGCTCAATCTCGTCACATCGTCGCAACGAATGATCCAGATACGCGGAATGTACTTATGCATGGATGTTAGGACCACCTGTGAATAGAAAGAATCATACCGTAAAGCAAATCAAGGTACAAAGAAAATCATATTTTTAATCGTAAAATAAAAAATATCGGGTCCAATAACGAATAACACAATATTTTCCAATAATGAGAAGCAAATGCTTTTTTAACTCTTTACAACCCAGTACTTTTGATTCTTTATGTAAATCAATGTGAACATGTGTCTGTCAGTCGCTACTGGGTTGTTTAGGGTTAATGCGTTAAGCGCCAATCTTATTTCGTTGACTTCTCTGTTGACGCCACGTAATTGACGCTAATTAGTGATAATACAAGTGAACGTCGAAAATTCACCAAATACACACAAAAGTTAAAGAGTGCCTGAAGGCAGAAAATCTCATACCTGCTTCTCATATTTCAACAAACTCAATTAAAATGACTATTCTATCATTGATATTGTATTCATCAATATTCCTAAAAATTACGATACATTTTGATTGTTCTCATAATCGTACAATTTCTATTTTTAAATACCAAGATATTACTTCTTACACTTCGTGGCATTAGCTACTGATGATCGATACGGCCTGAACAGAAAGTTTATTATCGATCTTCGGTGTTAATAATATTATTCATGCTTTCCCACGATCCTACGCCATTTTGGAGTTAAAACAAATTACTATTATCTGAAAACGATAATAATAGTATTCAAGGTGGGATACTCAATAAGTCGCAGGGGTTAAAAAAAAATGAGGCTGGTAGTGGCCGAAGCAATTAATCAATCATTCTAATCGATATCGATATACATTCGTTAATTTTCCATTTTTCGGTAGCTCCGCCGCGATAGAAATGGTGATGGGCGCCATCGTTTCGTTTTTATCGTGGCCGAAGAAGAGATTCCCTTCACTTGGTGGCCCGGCCGGCGCACGAGAGGGAGAATTTTATTAAATTCGTAATTAGTTTGAAGAATCGGATAAAAGGGACGCCGCTTCGTCAAGATAAGTTGGCGCCTCGCTAAGGACGCCGACGACGACGGGGACAGACGCGATTCTCGAAAACCAGACTGGCCCTTCAACCTTCCCAGAATCACGCGCACCCGACCCATTCAAAATCTTCTCCAAGACCGCGCGCGCAGAACCTACCAACCCGTTGCTCGAACTCTTTTTCGCCCATTGTACGAAACTCTAAGACAAGTCCGACAACTCTGTATAAACGAGAAACTCGAATTTCAGTTAAACAATAAAACAGTCATTTTTTCAAATAAACACTTTTTCCAAGGAATATTTATATTTTAAAATTGCAAATTTTATCTCATGACATGTCTAAGGAATTTCCTTTTAATATATAGCATTTTTTGGATTACACTAATGTACGCATGAAAGAACAAACAGGGTACTCAATAATTTTTAGCCTCTGTGCGTACAATTTAAAATATGATACAAATAATGTAGTGTTTGACTGAAACAATTTAGGTCAATAAAACCTTAAGGTTACCCTCGTACTGTTAGGGACGTACTGTTCAGGACATTTTCATCTTGTCTTAAATGTACATTTTTATATTATTAATTATATTTTTTATTACACAAATTAGTGAATCCCTATCGAAATAACGAATTGCCTCATCTTCGCTTAAAAATCGACCAGTTCGAGATGAAATTCCGAGGGTCCGATCACTCGGACACCAAGAGGAAAGCGAATACCCGCGTACAAGTCCCAAAAGGATCGGAATAAATCGTGAATTCGGTTCGTTTTAAATAATCGCACCGCGCCCCGTGCTTCCTCGAGGCTCCTCGAGGCGACGCAGATCCGCAGAAGTAATTTCCGGGATGCTCGTGAAAATTGAAAGAGAGCTGACCAAAAAGGGGCGCCCGTGGAAGCCAGCTGCCCGGGATATTCGTTCTGTCAGGGCGTAAACAAACCCGCTCCGCCGAGAGAAAAGGGAGGTATATCGATTACAGGGTGTCGTGGACCGTGTTAATCTCCGTTCTTCACGGACAACGCCCGAAACCGATGTACCCCGGCACCGTTTTGAGCATCTTAAGTCCCCTACACCCCCTCCCTTCGTAAGGGGGGGGGGGGGAAAGAGTGTACCACGCGGCGTCGACCTTTTCCCTTTTCGAGATTTTAATCCCTGAGCTCCTGTGCACGGCGAAGCCGAAAGTTTCGCTCACCTTGGCCATTTAACAGGGAGGCCCCTCCCGTGTTAGCAGGCGAACCCATTAAGGGGAAATGTGGTCCGAACACCGATGTGACTCGCGACGAAACGACGGTGGAAGGTGCAAAGGGGGTTTCAGAGAGAAATAGTTTAACTAATCATAATTTTGAAATATTAATGTGCAAGGGATTTGGGGTACAAATATTTGAACCTATCGCGATTGGAATATTAATCCTTAACGAATGAAAGAATATTCTTATGTGATTATCATACAGTTGCCTTGTAAGGGAAAGACCCTAAGTATCCGACTTCGATTTTAATGGGGTTTCGTAAGATGATGGTATACAGGTTCCTAATTATATGTGTGAAACATTACGTGTAGAGACGCGATTTTTTTAAAGGTATGATTATATTTAAGATTACGCACTTTCCTGATATATTGTGAGTATATGTTATCGAAGTTGTGTTAGGAAAGTTAAATGAAAATATTTCGGTGAACGGGAATCGATCCCAGGACCTCCGATTTACCAACTAAACAAATTTATATTTCGATAAAATGTAACTAAACTTTCAACACTATCAGATCACAGTTAATAAAGTTATCTGAACTCACAAGGAAGAAGGAAGTAGCTTATTTTGAAAGTAAACTTTGAAAATAGGTTTCGTAATTTCGCGATTGGATGTTTCAATTTGAAATATTGCCAGTTTGGAGCAAAATTAGACCTAATTGACATGAAGTGGGATATCGTTCGGAAGCCTCGAACACAGGAGGCTCCTTTTTTTTTCTTTTTAAGCTGGAACCGAATCGGAAGTGAGACGAACAGCTCTGAAGAGGGTGGATCCGTGTGTGGCGACCTCCCGCATGCGGTTCAAGCGACGAGAAGCGTAAGTCGAAACCAGAGACACGAAAAGAAAGTGAAAGAGGGAGGGGGTGGGGGGAATTTAAGGACATCCCGGCCTGTCCAAACACAGAACATCGAGATAAATGGAACGCCGCTACCGCTCCTGATGAATCGGCAGTTTCCTGTATTTCCGTACGCGTTACTCAAACCTTTACATATAGAAATGAATGACAAAAGTTCGAACAATAATCTTCGAACCAAACATGGAAAAATTAACACTAGTTTCGAGCAAATCTGTATGAATTAAATGAATTAACTCACTGAAGATAACTGTTTCAACGTCTATTCGTATTAATAATAATAAAAAATGCATAATAACGTGGAAAGGTACCCAACCATCATAATTTTCGGTAACGTATTGTAACTTTATAAAGTTACACATGATAACCGAACACTGTATACGTCGAAAAATTCCTAGCACTGAGTTATTACATTAATTACTCAGAAATGATTAATTACAATTACTATTCACAAAATTATTATATTCTTTCATCAGTACATATCACCTGAAAAGGTTTTTCAACAAGCAATGAAATTGGATCTTTTGATACAAGTCAAAATGATTCACACTAGTCGACCGTGACGTTCCTCGAGTATCCATCCTGACCCAATGGGATTAGTAACGAAAGAATCGTACACTTGGCAATGAAAAAAGAATACTCACATTGGTTCTGGGATCAACAGCGTTGTTGGTCAACTTCAGCTTGTTGAAGTTAAGGGGATGTTGCATCCAGTGTGCACCGGTCGCTGGGCTGTCCGGATGCAGGTAAATTCTCCGATCGATCCGTGGCTGAGGCTCCGCTGGACCAGCCGATGTCCATCCTCTTGCGTTCCCACAGCCATCCTCGACGCCAGAACCGCCGCCGCCGCCGACATACTTGTGTCGACGATCGGACGCCGGCTCCACTTCGAGGAGAACGCAATAACGAGCACGACGCTCTAATCCACTGACAGTCAGCTGTATAGACGGGAACATCCGTCTGAAACGGAACACGATACGCATTTTAATTAGAGATGAATATTATTTCGTTGGAATAACAGATGAATAGAAATGAGGATCGATCATCCAGATTTTAGGGGATCGGTTAACCCTAGTGTACTGTTCGCGGCAATCTGACACAAGTTTAAACTTCAACTTTTTAATTATATTGTTTATCAGACGAACTTTTAAATTAATTTGACAACAGTAATGTACGTACATAACGATTAAGCGACGTGTAAGAATATTCCCTTAACCCACTGACGACCATAAGCGTCCAAGTGTGCCACATGGTTCATCTGCCAATTTCTTTCATTCTTTTTCTGCTGTATAAGTTTCTTATGGAAAGTAGTAATTTGACTTTATTAAGTTAAAATTTCTCGTTATTAAATTATAACTGTTTCATTGAAATATTACGATAACTATGGGAGAAGCTTAGAACACGTGGTTGTCAGTGGGTTAATTCCAGTTTCGCTTAGACCAAGTTCAATTCAAGAAATAGTAATGCAACCATTTATCGAACAGTAGGTACACAAGGATTCAATGTTTAAATATCTGCACACTTGTAGAATGCAATTTAAATTTGATTTTCTATAACTTTTATTCTTTGTATAATGCTGTGACTGTAAGAGTAATATGTCTATATGTTCGCAACTGTTAAACCTATCAACACGGAAGATTCAATCAAGTCTATTTATTCAATATTTCTAGCAGTAACTTTAAAATCACTGCAATAAATTAAATCATCAACATATTTAACAGACTATGACACGAAGATTAAGAAATCTCACATCTGACTTCGAAAATTCTAATTTCTGAAACATTTCATTTTTCCTTAACAAATCATTTTATACAGTAATTATTTACTGTACATATTTTACTATATGTATATCACATTTCCGTACACTAGACATTAAGCTTTATTTCCAGCGCCCCCAAAAGTGAATCACAAATGGCGATCGCCGTAATCGTTTCGCTCTTAGCCTTTCACCGTCATCTACGAAGATTTGGCACAGGTAGCATGAACAAAAAGGGAACACGAAGGGACAGAAAATTCCCAGTCATTAACGTAGTCTCGGCGACGAATGGGCGTCGCCGAAGAACGAACAACTCCAAACTTCTGGTTATGTACTTCCTTTGCGACTCTTTGAGAGCATCACGACCTCCGCTATCTTACGATCCCAACAGCGAGTTTTTCCCCTCCTCGTGTAAACATTCCAAACTCGCGGATAATCCCGTAAGTAAACGCCCGAAAGTCAATCTCCGGTGGTACGGACCGTTTGCATACCTAATTGCGGATTTTCCGACGCCCCGCTTTGTTCTCCGCCTTCTTTCCCTCATCCCCACGGAAAGTCGTGAGAGGAAATGATAAAAAAAAAAAAAAAAAAAAAAAAAAAGAAAGAATAAGGAAATACAACGAATTATATTCTAATCCTTATTTTTGTTTAATCTTACGAATTACAATGATCCTTGTTTTTGTTTAACCAAATAAAAGCACCAAAAATGGGTTGATTGCAAGAAGAAATGATTCGTTAGAAAAATAAGACAGTAGCCGCCAGTCCTGTCAGAGATGTAAATTGGTTTGTTTTTACGTTAAGAGTGTAGTAAGGGGTTTTTCTTCTTACGTTAAGAAATTAGTTCTTGAAGGAAGTTTCTTTTAAATGTAATATTTGTACTTTATATATTTTACATTTAATTACCTTCTTATGTTCCATTCTATTTTCTCCGAACACGCACACTTGCTCGAAGTGAAGTGTAATTAGGGATTAAACGAAGGGAAGGGTCGATCTAAATCTTTGATGACAGTGGTACCTGAGTACATTCCGTATTTAAGAGTTAAAACCACAGAAGATACGTATCTCGACGGACGTAATTAGCGACGGAAAGCCCAACCTGTGCCTGCGACACAAATTTCGGAAGCACTCTCACACAATCTTTCCTTTTAAAACTGTCTGTAATCGTAACCTTCCATGAATTTCTTGTCACATTAGGTCTCGCGCATTAAACGCAATTAGGGGAAAGTCCAAGCGACGTATCGACGCCCATTACTCAACATCTCGTGATCCACCACTGGTATTCCCAAATTCCAATGCAGTCTTCATCTTCGAATCAATGTAACCATCAAAAGGTTAAAAATAAATCTTACGAAGCTGCCATATTATTTAAGCCATTATATTTAAAATGTTGATTTCGTGATATTATTAATAGTGATCCTTTCCACCGTAATATTTCCATTGAACAATTAGTATTTCCAAGGTAAGTTCCTAGCAAACAAGAACGATCGACTTTGCAACGATTTGTACGACGGCGAGGGTGAAAAAAAAAAGATTCCCAGGAGACGCGCTCGAGTATAACGATAAAGAAGATCGAGACGCCATGGCTCCTCTGTTGTTGAATCCACTAAATGTGGCGCCCTTGTAAGTGGAGGATTACGCCGTCGCGACTGCTGTTGGTACAAGGCCCGTGCGCCCGATGATTCGAGCGTGTCTGGTCCTTTTAAAAAGCCTCTCGAGATTATCGAATCACCAGATAATGCCGTAATAGCGTGATACAACGCGTGCAATCGCAGCACGCGCCCCCCCCCCCCCCCCCCGCTTTCCTTTCATCTCGCCAGATTAGATGAATCGAAACGTCACGTGGCGTGCGGCGGGGCCATCGTAAAAAGTCGAATCTGTTTGGCTTCACGACCTCGCAGTGTAAATACTTCTTTTTTTTTTTTAGACACCATGAAACTCGATCATAAATCTTACCGTCACGATAAATAATTTCTAGTTTGCTTATTGCTCGCAGAAAAGAAACTGAACACAGTTTTTTTCAGTTTCATAAAAGGCAATATGATTGGTGGTGCAATGTATAGATAGCAATCTTGTATGACCGTTAATTTGTTATATGGAAACATAAGAAATTGATACACGAAGGATCGTTTATAGATTATACACAAATTCCCGTGGAGTAGTGGTATATTCTTCAGTTTAATGTTCTTATTAGATCGTGCTATAGAAAAGTTTTAAATAATTTCTCTACTGAGCTATATGGAAAGTATGTTCTACGAATACCGTGTTATCGAAGGGTATTTCGCAATTTATACAGCGTGATATTAGATGTAGATACCAATAAGTAATTCATTATAGTTTCAATATAATAGTATGTAATACATTTTAGATTCGGAACATCTTACCAAATTTCTGTTTAGTCAAAATGGTAGAGAGTGATAGGAACGAATATTTAATAATGTTAAAAGAGAATACGTATTTGAATTATTTCGAAATGAATATAGAATTTCGGAACATAAGGGAACTACGAAAATTCCGATTTTTTTTTAAACTCCGCAGGTTACAAGGGGACTAGAATAGAAGTATTGGACAATTTTTCGTTTTTGCTGATATTTGGTTCTTCAGGGTGAAACCACCCGTTAAAGGTTAATCTGTTCTTTCTTATTTTCCTGTATATCTTGAAAATTATAGTAGGTACCAAAGAACTCTTACAAAGAAACTTTTTGATGGCTTCCTATGCTCTTTAGAAGTATATGATACAATTGCTATAAATTTGTTTGTTTATTTATTTGTTTAAAACAAACTTTGGAAGAAAAACACTTTCACACGGTATGAGAAGCCATTAAATTTTCAATCTAACAGTTTTTCCTATGCCTGCTCTAATTTTCACTATTTCAAAACATATTAACATTTGAGGGGTGGCTTTCCCCCGAAGAACCGAATATCAGTAAAATCGAATAATTGCCCGATAATACCAAGTAGTATTACCAAAAAGTAATAAATAGCACCGAAACGACCAAGCCCATAGAATGCCCAGTTAAAAGCAATTCGATAAAAATCGTTCCCAACGTTCACTAGAAAAAAAAAAAAACAATCGACAGTCCAGCAAGACAATCGAAGGCCCAAGAAGACAATCGATCGTTTGGCGGAAGCAACGTGAGTTCGAAAGGAGTGGGTATATAAAATTATGAAAAGAATGCGGCAAAAGGTCCTCGAGGGCCGCTTTACGAGGACGTTTTTTCGGCCCATTGGGATGACTACCGTGAAACTCGTAAACCTGCAAGGAGCCGGGCCTCGAGGCAGAGATCGGTAACAGGCGAATCACGGCGGGAACGTGAAATTAATTATCTCCGCTCGTGGGACTGCGCGTCCTGTCGAGGGTGCAAAAGGGGGCACACCAAGGGAACGAGGGGGAAAGAGAAAACGCGCTTCTGGAGCGCACGTTTTCTGTTCATCGGTGACGTAAGGTCGTCGGGAACGTGAACACACTGGCGGGGGGGGGGTGTACCGCAGAAGAAGAGGAAGGTGATATTAGAGGGAACGAAGTGGAATCGACGAACCGAAGGGAAACAAGAGAAACGAAAGAGTCGATCGTGTCATGGAATACTGATTTGGTGCGCGCAAGGGACCGAAAGGCGACACGGACGGGTATACACGTGGTTGGCACGTGGTGCACACTTCGCAAGCCAGGGAATCGCCGGTGGACCGGAAGGCACGGATACACGCGGACAGACAAACACCTATGTTACTATTGTACAACCGAGGACCGCCCACGAATTACCGTACGCTGTTGTCTCGTAAAAATGCCATTTATTCGTAGTGGTTTACTTCTCTCTTAAGGCCCGTTTGCACGTTTAAATAATTTGCGCAAACGGACTTGTGGATTAGACGCTTTTTTTTTTCATTGCAAGTTTAGAGTCGCATCAACAACAAAGGTTATTAAGTTGACTGAATTTAAATACAGATTACGGGTAAGCGATTTAAAACTGTAGAATCAAGAGGGATAATTCAGCAAGGTCTTCATAAGTTGTTGAGAATTCTAAGACAGAATGTCCTGGTACGATGTCGAGGTTGTTGTTTCGGTGAGATTGTTCTTAATATTTAGTCTTCTTCTTACTTGGTTTTATTTTCCACATTCGAGCATAATGTGGTTGTGGATAGTTATAGGTGTATTATATGTTTCAAACAGCCTGGGTGGGTTGTTATTGAGATTATGTGAATATGATAGTTTGGTGTGTTCAGTTCTGATTAGTTATTACGTATACATTTAAAGAATAAACTGTAATTAGTTATTACAATTAAATAATAAGTAAAGTAATAGTAATTATTTGCCAGGAGCGTTAGCTTCCATTTAAACGCAACGATTTGCTTGTTTGCTTGGCAAACATGAACGCATAAATCAGTTTACGCAAATTATTTGAACGTGTAAACGTTCACGGAAATCGTTAGGAATAGTCGATTTTTAAAATCGACGAAGATACTGAGTTAAACATTATAAATACTATAATACTGGGTTATTACAGTAGATAATGCTTTTTTTTGTTCTTCAATGCGAAGGACTGCTCCTAACTAATAAAATATATGGTATATAGTACATATTCTGAAAGAAAAAATACTGTAGGAGTCCCTCCCCCAACCACCCCTAAAGCTCAATAATTTTCAATAATTTCAAGGGGGACTATATATGATGAAAATTGATTCTATCGATACATTCGATCATTCTGCTAAATTACCTGAATCACTTATTGTCCATTGGTTAATGCATCCCGCCAGAAAGGGTGGAAATGAAACGATCGCTGAATAAAACATAGGACCAACACCGCGTAAGAATCCTCCGTTTCTGGTCACGTTGGCGGTCCCTCCTTTCACCACGACCATCTGGCCTGACATCAACCCTGTTATCTAACGCGAGGGCAACGCGAAATTCCCGGTAATCTTATCCAAGATAGCCAGAGCGTGCCGGCTCTATCTTGGAAAGGAGTGACCGGTACAGCCCGATCGCTTCCGTTGAACAGTGCCCCGGCCGGAAACCGTGATTCGTCCTGCATCCGTCCGGTCAGCGGCACGACTTTTTCCGCAAATCTACCTTCGTAAAATGATTCGAAGGAAGATCGGTGAACGCCGATAAACGACGGGGCACGTCGTCACCGTACGACCCGACTTTTACGACCCTTCGTTCGACCACCTCCCGTGAAACTAATCGTCCTGTCGTCGCTCGAACTGTGTCCCCTCGTTAAAGGCGTCGCCCCATTTGCCCCGGACCGGGACCTGGACGTGCGGCTATTTCATACAGAAACTTTGCATTCGACGTGAATACATATCTGACTACTCATCTTTCGGTCACCGATAATCGAACCGCCAAGGGGCACAGATCTAGAGATAGAAGGCTTCGAATCGACGCTTTCACCAAGGCACGCGAACGCATATTACATATATTGTTTCGTGGAAACCGATCGTGTTGTCAAGGGGGTGAGTTTGGTGTAATAGTACTATATCGAGACGATAATCTATGAAGATGATTGTGTGTTGCAAATTATTGAAAAAAAATCCTAGTGAATACAAGGAAATGTTGTTACGTGTTATTAACCCTTTAACACCCAGACCCTTAAGTCACTATTTCAAAATTATGAGATCTTGTTCATAAAATCATATTAATGTATATAGGTATACATATAAACGTGAGTTTAACGATAAATATAAATGCGATATAACTGACCATTGGCAATGTGATAAAATAATGTTTTTTTTCAAGAATATGAACCAATATTGAATATTGAATTTTCCCCTAAAATTATAGTGATATTTATAATAAATTGTATGAAATATTCAATATATTTAATAAACTAGAAGTTTAGGTAGAAATTGATTTGGTAAAATAAAGAGCTGCAACTATGTAAGTTGTTGCCAGATGATGTAAACGAGAAACAGGTATTTGTCGAGGAGGTAGAAACTATTGGAAAATGTAGAAACAATTCCAGAACAGGTCACATTTTTTTCAGGTGCAGACGTCTAAGGGTTCTCTACAGCGACAGAGGGTGTGGTCGCATGGCGCCTACTGGACTATTCCACCCCGATGGAATTCGAGGTAAGAAAAAAAATTTTCGGCAGCGACTCGTCAAAGGAACGATGATTCCCTTGCAAGTTACGGTCATTATGATTCTTCGAAAATTCACAGAGACAAAAATAAAAACTTGAAGATACGTTCCACCCATTAACAAAATGACGTTACCATTATATACAATACTTATTTTACTAAATTCAACAGGTAAATCTGTCGATTTGACAAATTGTGATGATACTAAAAGATTACATATGTTTAGTTTCTGTAACTTTCAAGTGAATTGATTTTCCAAACCCCTTTTTATGGTATAATTTATAGCTTTTGCTTCTGAAATCTTTAAGATCGTCTTGTAGCTAAGTTCCTAACAATGATTAGATTTACACGAGGATAAATTGTGATTGATGCACTCACCGGCCCAATTTCGTGATTATCATTTCCGTTGTTTCAGCGTGGAATTGCCGCCACAACTCTCGATTCTGCAGCTCAACCTTCACCTCAGGTGGTAGAGGAGGTCCTCCACCGGGGGTGGGTATTGACCACGTATTCGGATTCGGTATGTCTTCTGCAAATTATAGAAAGAAATTCCTAATAAATACAAGGAAATGTTATTCTACATTATTAAAATACCAGAAAATCATTGTATCTACTTTGTACATTAACACCTACAGTGACAACTTTCACTTTACTTTTACTGCAGCATTATATTTCTGTGTAAACGTGCATTAGTATATGTATATGTGTATTTGCACGCGCGCGCACATACTCGCGTGAATTTATGCATTATGTTAAGAATTAAGTATTAGTACTTCTACTTCTATTTTCTTTCTCTCTTCTTCTTTCCTTTAATTTTAACGTTAAATATCATTAAGTTTAATTCTCTTACAATAAGTTCTTTCTATTGTATGAATGTATATTGGGCTATTATTATTATTATTATTATTATTATTATTATTATTATTATTATTATCCCCAAAGACAGACGAAACGAGTAGCCCAAACAGTATCGTTGAAACAAGGGATCATGTTTTTTCACGACCCAGGAAAAGAACGATGAACGACAAGACTAGCCCCGCTGTTGTCGCAAGAAGAGTTTTGTCTCTTCCCTGATGGTTATCCCCCGTGGGGTGATTCACCTAGACACCGGCCGGATAAGCCAGAAGGAGGACAAGAAATTGCGCGGATGAGGTAACACGAATGCCGGGAAGAACACCTTTTGCAAGTGGATCTATAGGAGCCGGGCGTCGGTTCGTCGCATGAACGGATTCGTCCAGTGCACTTGTCTCGCGGTTCTGCGGTCGGAAGGTTGGGAGGGGGAGCATTATGTCCCGGGCTAGGATAATTGCGGGCATCGGCTCGTCTTCTTTCTCTTCCTGCCGAGAGGACACACCGGTGTATACCCCGAAGCAGCCATTCTATGGGGGCCCAGATAACGATTGTCCGCTCTCGACCCGAAAGTCGGCGCCTTTCATCTTCGACGGTTAGAAGAGGCTCGCGCGGATCTATGTCGCCTCCGCGGGAACTTGTCGCATATTACACCGCAACCCTCTTCTACTAGCCACCCCCACACACCCCCCTTCGTCACCCCTCCCCGTGGGAAAACAGAAAAATGGAAAGGTTTCCGTATATGAGCCTGACCAGAGACCAAAGTGACGGACTCCATTTTTTTTTAATTTTTTTCTAAGCTTCGCGCCAACATATTTGATTGGTGTTTGATTGGTTTAAATTTGAAATCAATTTTTAAGATAAATTTTGTGGAGTTAATCATTTTGTAAAATTAACTATCAGTCAGGGTAATCTTGTCCCAAGTCAGAAAATTATCATTTTCGATTTACAGCATATGAGTACATACTGTTTGCTGTTGTTACAATTTAGAAAGACAACTGTTCGAAGTGTTTTTCAAGCTAAAGATTGAATTTTGCACAATTAACACGAATTGCAATGGATGACTTATTCATTCATTAGAGTCTATGCTGCGGTGTATATGCATTCATGGCATACGCAAATGTATGAAACACCTAAGCAAATAACATTAACGAACAACCCTGAAGTTTTTGGTATAGTTTTTATATATTAACTCTTGAAACAAGATTTTCATCGATTTTGATCTTACTGAATTGATCTGTGGAATTGGATACTTGCATTAACATCAACAGGTGATAGATATAAATATTATGATTAGTCATACTGCTACATAAATTTAGTGATACAATAATTACCCAAAGGTAGAATTTCTAAGAAAAAGGTATCTACATATATTATACTCAAATATTGAATATCTTTTGCAGCATGTTTCAAAAACGTAGTTGTTGGAATTGAAATAAAATTTTATATTAATCGAGATACGAAACCAGTCTAAAATACCTTAGGCTAATTTTCTTTCTCTTCAAAAAGTGAGTCAAGATAATAAATATTGCATTCATCACAAAATGTATTGCTTCTTTTATGCTTTAAAATAAATGCAACACAAATGAGAATGAACGCACGTTAAAAAAATAATTAGACTAAATTTTCAGCATCACAAAAACAGTTTCCGAAATCTTCGGGTTCTATCACCATCTCTAAAACCTTTCAATTAATAATAATCATATAACAAAAGCATTCACCCTATCTCGCACAAAAGAATAGAAGTTAAAACTGTCAAGGACTGTCAAACAACAATAATTAAAAAATGAATTGAACCAAAACGTAATACTCCGGAACAAGATTTAAACAAAAATGTCTATGTTAAACTAAAGCAGAAAAAAGTTCAGAAAAAAGCTACGAAAGGAAAGATACAAACCTGGTCGGTGTCTTCGAAGAGCAATTTGCTGTTGACGGAAGAGCATTTGTTGGTGCAGTTGCAGCTGCAATTCCATCGGCATCGCCATCATCGTGTTCATCTTGGGAACGATGCACTGCGGGCGGTCCAGCAGTTTTGTGTCACTTTGTCACGCGATCTCACTGCAAAAACGTACGCGCGAAAATCCAGTGGAAATGTGTACCGGCCCCGACGTCTTCCGCGTAACAGTCTGGTCACGACTGAAGATGCGTTCGCGGAGTTGCAGGCACCGTCTCTGTTGCAAGCAATCCATCGCTGCACTTGAGGGACTCTCTCCTCATTGGTGGACGCCTCGTTCCCACCACTCGGACCGCCGCGCCCACGCCCGGCCCGATTGGTCGCTGCGATTCCGGTTCGCCGACAAGAAGCGGACTCCGAAGTTGCGCTCGATAACGATCGAGAGTAAACGAAAAAGAAAAAAAAATATCGGAAAATTAACAGGTCATTACAGACGCAGCTTGAGGCACCAAGAACCACGGGGTACATCTTCGGAAATTATTTACCGAAGAATGATTTCGAAAGAGGGTCGTTTAGATATCCGTTTCCCAAAATGGTGAAACGTGGAGTTTGCGTGATGCGAAGATCGTATTGTTTATTTCGTGAGATTTATTGTATTTTTAATGTTTTATTTGAGGTGGTAGGTTGTAGGAATATAGGGTTGGAGATTTTAACGATTGTTTGGCGATGACTGGTAGGGGTTGACGTTAACTTTAATTCAAATTCAGGAGGATTAATATAGGTGTTCATTTAATATCGTTTGCCAATGACTGACATGACAGTATTAATTTTTGTATAATATGTTGTGTTATATAACAATTTTTCTATTACATTTGTTTATAGCATGTACACTTCTGTTATATTGAACAAACCTTAAAATTCAACAAATAGGGTCCATACTTTCAAGGTTTGTTAATTTAAGATTCACGTGTCTAATTCATACTTTCTACACAAATGTTTCTTTAATTAAAATCTTCTTGAGTTATTATGACACAATATAATGTCGAAAGTGTTTCAACCCCCAATGGAATAAACGCTTCGAGCACTATAGACGACAACTACATCCCAGTATCTCTGACAATTTTAACGTTTTGATGTCGAGGAACCTTCAGACATCACATCAGTGCGAATTTACACCAGCGAAGCATCGTTTCGTCTGTAACATTCTATCTGGCTAGCATAACGGTTTCAAATTTTCATAGTTAAAAAATTATTTCTTCCTTTGCAACTACTACCATTAAATTTCTGAAAAAATTACATCCTAAAAAATACGTTATTAGTTCAACTTGTATTCTTTTCAAGTTCTTAATCGTTAAAATTAAAAATCCCAATTCGCACTAGTGCGGTGTTTCGGTATGCTGGGACGGGGTGTGGTGTGTGGGGGTCAAATTTCAAAGCGGTAACGTCCTAAAAAATATCCGTTCCAATAAAATTCTGGCCAACTGTGCCTCCACTACCCCACGTCCGCCAATCATGAGTCGCCTAAAGACCAGCCTAATACGATCCATCCCTGCCACGGTAACGCGATAAACGTTTCCTTCGCGCTAGAGTAGGAAAATCGCGTGACAAGATCATACAGATCGCGAGCCAGCTAGACGATCTGCCCGGATTTATTCGTCGGCGCATTTGACGTATGTCGCGACGCGGCACACGATCGCGTTAAAGGAACGTACCGCCACCGTTTAGAGAGAGCGTTGGGCATAGCAGTGGTACAAGAGTGGAGGAATCGTCACCATAAATTACGGAATCAGCCGAGGCAGACGGCCGTTAATAGTTTGTTCTCGAGTCGAGAGACGAGACGAGGCGAGAAGATAAAATCAAGAATCCGTCCGCGGTGCGTCGGCGGTCAAAGAGAGAACTCGTCGTCGTCGGACCGATGCGCAAACGGAGGAGATCGCAACCGAGGAGAAGCGCCGCGAGATACAAATCTACGCTTTTCTCAGCTCCCTTATATTCTTTTTCTCTCTTTCTCTTGTTACCACCACTCCAGTCGTCGCATCTTCTTCCTCCACCCTGCACCACCTCCACCTTTTTCTTTCTTTTTTTCTTTTCCAAGGGGGTAGTAAGCGTCCCCTAGCCGCCTACGACGGCCGGTCATCGCACCATTGTAGTGGGTTCCGGATTGCGGATTAACTGTAAGCGATACCCACAACAAAAGCGCGCGCGCTTTTACCTGACAGCTCCCTAGGACTACCTGTATTCTACTGCTTTACGGCGGCATCGCTAGGCAATGCCCACCCCCCTATGGATCGTGTCATCGTGACCGCTACTCGTCAGCATCGTCGAATTCTTAAAGGCACCACCATTGCGTCCCGTCGGTCTTATCGATCGATCGTTTCATTTGATCCGTAACGATAACACACCCCCGTTCCCATGACATGCCAGCCGGTTGTTTTTTTCACTCGATGGCTAATCGACACGCGTACGATGCTCCTTAACGAATGATGCTGCTTATTGGTTGCGGGTGAAAATTCGATTTGTAGATCGGTGTATGTGAAATGGCAGATTTTTTTACTTAACGGTGTCCTATACCGGTGAGGTTTTTCTTATCATAGTTTGGACTTTGACACTAGAATTAACAGCTTTGAATGTATACTAAATTAATAGCATAATATATTATAAATATACTATATATGTAATGTAGTATAGCACAATTTGTGTAATGTACAACATATAATAAGCTAAACCTTGTGTAGGCAACCAAAGTATTCATGGGTATTGAGGAATCGGGAACACTCCTGTTCTGACAGATTAGACAAACATAGACAATTTTACTTTCATACTTTTCCGAAACTCTAATATATCAAATGCTGTTTTAGACAAGAACATAAAAAATTGTATTTTTACATTGTACTTTTTTTACTCTGACAAATTTTTTTTATTCTGACAAATGTTTTCGGACAAAAACTTTTTGCTGTATCAATCGAATTGGGAATACTATTGATGTTATATTCAGTAATCAACGCCTGTACTAACATCGAAACACTTAATAATTATACCTGGAGGAAGTAGAATCTCAAAAATGGGTGGTCGAAAAAAAAATTCTAAAGCGACGCTCGAAAATTCGCCTGTATACGGCTACATAAAGTAAGCCTTCAAATAAGGAAAGCAAGGAAACACTTTCGTAAAGAGACACAGCTGTTTTTTAAAATGGGGCAGAATCTCAACATGACGGAATCTCCAGTTTACCTACCCCTAACAGAACAGCGTTCTCTCGCAAACCAAAAAACACAGACGAGACTTTTTTTTTCGTTTCCGTTTCTCTGGAAAGATAAACGCAAAAATTAGTTGATCTTCCACATTCGATAAGACTATTACCTACTTGTAAACACATAACAAAACAAAATTACGAATTACGCTCTTCATTTTGACTACAATATTCGTGTACATAAAGAATTTAAATCTGTTTTTTTTTGTTTATTTCTGTTTTAGAATAGTATAAATAGACATATTAACGAAAGGGCACATGATTTATTTTCAGGGTCACTGTTCGATTTTAAACAAAGTAGGGTTTGTGTTACAATGTTCCATATACTACAATTTCGAATTCGAGATTACACAGAAACATACATAATAATCCTATTTCAATTATTGTACTGCTAGACAGTAGGCATTGTTCCGTAAACTTAAATCGGTCTTAAACCGACGCTCGGTGCCCAAGGGAATTATTTAGGTAAACGATACCATTATTAATATCATCACGAAAAATACCATAATCTCTTTTCAATAATAAAGGCTCACGCCTGCTGGCAGATCGGTTTCAAGTTCCGTCGATGGGGGGTCCCAAAGAATTTCAGTGTCCGCCGCCGTCCAACCATTTACCCTCGACGATTAGACAGACTGTTAAGACTATTCTTAGTTGCCCTTCTAATCCTAAGTACCAATTAGGTGTCAAGCGTTATTACCCTAATGAAGAAGAGTTATGAGCGGTTTGCAAGCTGAAATGCGGTATGGATCTCCGTATTTTCTGTTCACGTACCCCGGTAAATATAGTACGAACAAATTTCATTTGCAATTCCTTTAGTTTTAATGTATTTCGACATCCTATCCTAGTCGATGAGCTCGCTTAAACTTCCAAACACCTGAACTAATTTCAAAGCGTGGAATGATAAGTTCCAAGAATCCCTATTCGACTGTCGTTTCATCGTTTTACAAAGCAATCGTGTAACCTAACACACCATAAATTTTCATTAAATGTAACATTCGAAATTCATATTAAGTGTACTTGCACGTAGATCACTATATTTTATCAAATTTCATACGAATCTTTAGAAAATAAAAAGCCTGTTTTGCTTTAATAAAAGTCCTTCCTGTTTCCCAGCATCATCCGCTATTTTCACAAAAGAGCGCGACTTTCAATCGTTTTAATGATTTAGTAATAAAAATAATAAATTATCCATTATTACAGTTAATATGTAAATTATTTTGAAAATGTCTTCCCTTTAGTACGTAATAACTCAATGAATTATTTACTTCTACTTCGACAGTGTATAAGACAACATTGTATTGTTCAAATTCTTGTCTAATTTGTAGTCATTGGGTTTATAAGGAACTGTTAAAATATTAATTACATCGAATGTAATATTCTACAGTAGCACTTCACCGAGGATTCTCGAGCGACTTCCGTTCGACGTCCTGCAATTTATTTTATCGGTGTAAATCGTCGTTATCCTTGCCACGGGTAAAGATTTTTACGCAAACCAATGGGAACGTGCGTAATCCAACGGCGGAGGCTAAAGCCTGGAGGCTTTCGACGAGGGGAAAGAGGTACGGTTATGGGGGAAACTGGATAAGGAGAAGCCGACAAATAGGTTTTACGGCTCACTTCCTGTCCGTCGCACGCGACAGTTATGCGCCCCATAATAAGACGATGGTTACTTTCCAGGACAACTACTTGAATTACAAGGAAATTTAACTAATATCATACCGTTTACCATTATTTGTGCAAATCGCTGCACGATTGCCAACCAAAATTCCAGGATATCTTTCTAAAATCATATTTATCAAATCAACCTAGTTTAACAATTATTTTTTACTTATATACACGAAACATTTTTTTTTACA